GTATATATTATAATAATGTTGTTTTCCAGTAGAAATATAGTAAAATGTAATTTATTTATTTAATCGATAAAAACAGTGGCAAAAGCGAGAATAGTTGGCAGTCCATCGATTCACATAAATAGCGGCAGTACTCTAAACCTGAGTTGTCTGGTCAATGAGACCCCCGGCCCTCCAGATTATATATTTTGGTACCACAATGGAGAAGTGAGATTTATTTTTCAACATCATATATTAACTTGTACAATTCCTCAATATACTTGAACGCTTACTGTCCCATCAGGTGATTAACTACGACTCCCCCCGCGGTATAAAAGTTCAAACGGAAAAGTCGTCTCAAACGACATCCAAATTAATAATAAACAAAACACTGCCTAACGATTCGGGGAACTATAGCTGTTCGCCGTCTAATGCGGAACCGGCCCACATAGCTGTCCACGTCCATAGCACTGGCAACCCGGCCGCCTCCATACAGCACGGAAAGAGGAGTGCCAGGTACAATTACCAGTAGATTACTACACTTGCAGCATACTATTACAGTTATGTGCATTCATTAAGGGCACCAATCTATTATTTAATCCACAATTTTTATGTATTTTCATTTAAGTTAGTAATGATCTTAAATTCTATTGTTTTAGTTATTATCAAAATTTAAACTAATGAGCCATTCGTGAAAGATTAATAATTATTACAATTTTACTCAACACATCCATAGCTATTAATTTGCTTCCCTCTCTCACTGTATATATCAATATAGAGTAGACTTTAATGATAATCGACAACAGAATAATAGCAAAGAGAACACTATATCTTATTATTAATGTCGAGTAAATACATCCACAGCCACCAGACCTACACTCTCGTCATAATTGCATAAATAGTATTCATTGTCCACTTTGGATACATTAAGTATACAAAGTATTAGAATATTCTTAAATAAGCTTTTCTATACTTTCTAAGACTATAAAAAGTGGAATAATTGAGTTATTAATGAAACGTGCTTGCTTGTGATAGCTCTTGTCATTATCTGATCCCTCTGATCATCTCTGAAGAGCATTAATAGGGTTTTTGTTGTAAATTATTTGTTTGCTTTACATTAAATATAATGCAATATCTTTACATTAAAGGGATTTTAGTGCAAACAGCGCACAGAAGTCAAGGCATGCCATCCATTCTCAACACTTATTAATAAATTCATGTCTTTTGTGGACAACTCTGTTAGTCATTGAATATAATTTTCGGTGAAACATATTAACAGTTTTGTGTTTAACTCGAAGGACTCAACTCTTTAAGACATGAATATAATGTAAATGAATTAAAGAATATTTAAAATTGCAATCAATTGCTCATAACTAAGGACTCGATTGAGTTTCAGCTCAAATGCCATTTATTTTGTTGTATTTGAAGAATCGATTCGTGGAAATAAGTGCAACGACTTCTCCCTTATATAAGACTTTTTTGTTAAATTCTTACAGTTTATAGAATAGGGAGGAATGGGTGTCGATCTATGGATACATAAGTAATCGACAAGTGATTGTAAATAATATTGTGATTATTGTATATAATAAAGTACTAAACATATTAATATTAATAATAATCCATTGAAGTCATCGATAATTATAATATATAAATAGCTGTTAATTGAAATATGAATGAAATGTATTGTTAAATATGAAGAATATTAACAAAATTGCTCATCAAATAAACGAAGGGAAGGGATGGGAAGGACGTATGCAAAGTCAATGCAAACAATCATTCATTAATAGTTTGTTATACTATATTCAAGCAATACATGTGTTGACTGCGAATGAGTTATTATTACAAAAAAAAACTTTATTAACACAAGAATCGAAAAATTAGACAAAAATGAGATCAATTTTATTAGTTTTTTAATTAGTTTTTTATTATTTACATAAATAACTAACATTATACACCTGTATATTAATTATTTATATATTGTTTGTAATTTAAAATTTAATTGTAATATTTTAAAATTATCTTTATTTTTTAATGAATAATTTTCGTGCATAGAATTTATTATTTAATACTTTAATTATTGTAAATTAAATTCTCTAATAAAAAGTTATTGCTTTATATATTCAGTATTGTATTCAATGGTCTCAAAGCTATATCTGAATGTAATTGAAATAAATAATAATTAATTAATTAATTAATAAGGGTTCATTCAAAATATGTCGACAATGGAAGCACACTTTATAATATTTTTTTCCAGCATTAATGAAATGGCTATAAATATAAAATACAGAATAAACATAACAATAGCCATTCCTATATTGAGGCTCCATTTGAATAAAGCAATCGTCAGAATAACAAACATTAACATTAGAAAGAGTAGAATCACTGAACATATCATTCCCTTGGAGTTGACGGTAACGGTGCCGAAAATCAACGTATAGAGAAACCACGGAAGGGGTAATCTATAAAAATATAGCAGTATATTACAAGTTAAATACATTAATCTTACAAAATAAGGTATATTAAATTAATAATAGAGTATATAATATAATGTTATAAATAAAACACAAAAATATAACTATTAGCATAAAGCATATTAAGGCCACTAGTTATATCTATTATATTTATTTAAATTCAAATATAATGTCTCTTTTGAAAAATCTAAGTAAATACGATAAATGAGTTTAATTTTTGTGAGTTTAAGATAATTTGGCGATCGATGACAATGGCTCGAGATTTATTGAATTAACTTAAAATCTAAGCAAAAGATTGAATGAATTTTGTTGCAATTCTCTCAAAAGTGTCAGACATTGAATTTTTTGAGACAAACATTTGAAGTACTGTATGAAAAAAAGAAATATATTTTAGAAGTAGAATACAGAATATTCTAAAGATTGAAAAGTTTTGTGTGTAGAGTACTTGAATTGTGTGAAGTCTAAACATTGAAAACATTTTTATGGATAAGAAATGGCTATAAAATACAAAAAGTACTAATGGTTTCATTCAATTATTCAAAGAGTACTCAATTGCGGGCATGTGTTGTGTCTTATGTTTAGTGTTTATGCTCTCATAATAAGTTTAATGAAAAAATGTTGGAATAACAGTCAACTCTAAACTATATGCTTTATACAGTAATTGAATTAAATTTTAAGATTTCTTGAAATTTCAAAATAACAGACAATAACAGACGCCTCACACACACAGCGATCGATACTAAAGGCATACAACAAATAAAATTTAAAACACTTTTGATTATTTCAAAATCAAATATTTTAACAAAACTCAAATCTTTTTTCATTTCAGACGTTTTGTCTTTGATTTGAAGTTTATGTACATTTTGTGTGATCGCACTGTTAGACTGTTAGTTCAGTTAGCATTGATAGCACTTTTAGCACACGTTTTCTTACAGTACAGTATTAGACTGCATTGTAGTTCACTGAATGTATACTATATATCGATTTTGTGTTAATCAATTTTGTAATATTTCAGTCCTCTCTTGCATTATATTTGGTTTCCTTTTAAAACAAAACGAATTTTATTTTATTAAATGAATTTCTTAAATGACTTTTACTCTTAAAATATACAGTTCTCTACAGTATATCAATAATCCAATGAATGCTTTGAATGAAGTTTTGACTTATTCTTGAGATCTATATTCAATTTATATTCACTTCTCTTGTGAAGTATTTTCCGTTCAATAAATTTCACGGAAACCTCGTCTAAATATTTCGATCTTTTTTATATAAATTAATGTTCAAAAGCATGAGTTCTAAACTTTTTTGAATGATTAATATGATTGAAATGTTAGGACCCGTCGGAGTGAATAAGAGAGAAATTCTCAATTCTTAAGGCAAACACTTTCGCGTCTTTTCACATTCACTCAAAATATTGATCTTCTTATTTGAGAAATGGTTTGCCTTTTAAACAGTTTTTATTTTATTTTAAATTTAGTTTTATGAATAACTTTTATTAAAAATTAAATCTAGTAAATACTAATAAATTTAACTGAAATAGTTGATAAATATGTTGTTACTGTATTATAAGTTTGCAGCTTTTAGGAAATATTAAAATAATTTAACGATGAAATCAATGAAATCTAATGTAAGATAAATAATAATTTATAGCATTCATTAAAATAGAGAATATTGACTATGTTTAGGTATATTGGGTATTGGGTGGGGTCTTTGTCTCAACAATTTTACACATATTTTTCTAATAATTCGTAAAAACTGAAGACTTTCCTCAGTCACAAGTATTAGTACATTGAACTCAGAACTTAAGAAAATTATTGTTCAGATTTTAGTATTTGTTCACATTCATATTGCATACAGCACAATTGATATTTATAATTTGGTAAAAATTTAATGTAATGAAGAATAAATTGAATGGAACTGTATGTACAAAGTAATTGTAAACATTATTTTCCTATAAATGCCAAAAAATTGCTACATATTTATTTATAATATATGTTAGTAAATAATTAGCAAATTAATTAAAATTTAGTTTACATAAGGCGTTAATTTCAAATAAAATTATTAATTAAATTCCTAATGTACTTAACATAGTCAGTATTACTATACGACTACTGTATTTGCACTTTATTTGTACAGTACTGTCCACTATCTGCAGTTTAATAAGTAGAAATTTATTATATAATATAATTTAGATTAATATAAGAATCATAAACAAAAAATTTAGACCATTAAAGTGTCAGGTGAATATCTCATATAGCTATAATTTAAATAGATTATTTTCAAACTTGACTTTAATTAAATATAATAAATGCTTTAATTGCGAGTGCATTAATTGAATTAAGCAAGGTTTAATTACCCCACTGTGACGTCAAATATATTGCTGCCGACAGAGCTGGAGACCGCCATATCTCCGAACCCTTTGCGCGCCACCAATACTGAAGTGATGAGGTCTGGTATCGAAGTGCCGGCCGCCAAGAAAGTGAGTCCCATGATCTCGTTGGGCATATTGAACGTCATGCCTACCAGAGTGGCCCACCACACCATCAAATAGGAATATATTGCGATCCATAGTATCGAACCAATGAATGAGAAGTAAAACCATTTCCTCTTTTCCTAAAATGTATAATATTTTTCTATAAGATATCACAATTGATTGCATCGACTCTTTTTATATAAATTTCTTAAAACAATTATTAATTATTATTCAAATGTATAATACTTTTGATTTGAGTAATTGATTTAAGCTAAACAAATGAATTAGTTTAAAATAAATAAAACATTAAATATGACCTTTAATTAGATTCTGTTATTTACTATATATAACTATTATGAAATTAGAGAGAGAGAGAGAGAGAGAGAGAGAAAGAGAGAGATTAATAAATAATAAAAATTAAATAAAAAAAGTAATAATGAAAAGGGAACGCAAATTACAGCAATAATTTATACAATACAACATATAATAGAAAATATATTTCAAATAAATCACAATATTTTAACGATAATAACGATATATATTCTGTTCCTAAGAGAAGAATAAATAAATGATTTGTATTATACGATAGAGAACTTGAGGCAACTATAGAGTGAAATGTTTTATCATTTATACCGATAGTTATTCAAATGGATATGAGTTACAGAATATAAAGTCTAGTGACTTATTTGTGGTAAAAGTATAATAAAACACTTTTGACAAACAATGAACAACTCTTTACATATCACAAATGGCAATATTTCACTCTCGAGGGACAAATAAATGCACACATTTTGACACGAATTATCAAAAGAATATAGCATTTTATGAATACATAAAAAATATAATCTTAGAGTTCAGGGCTGGGATCAAAATATTAAGTAAATCATCAAATTCTGTTAAATTATTAATGTTTAATTTGACCTTACGACAATGGTAATGATAAAAACAATAACTAAAAATAATGTTATAATTTTGTATGTTTAATTAAATTATAAATTTCACAAAGATAACACAAAATCTTACTTGTTTAGAATTTTAATGTTTACTAGTATAAATTACATGATAGTTGTATAATGCTATGTATGTTATGTATTTGATATGTATGAATGACTTACTTGTCTGCGAACATCAGGCAATGTAAGCCAAAGAGGAAAAATAATAGGAGCCAACAATACATATGTAATTTGCTTTCTAAAAGACTTGGGCCAAGACATGTCCAGCGGCTCATCCGGTTCATCGGTCTCCTAAACATTCATTTAAACACTATTTTCTAAACCAATTTTAAGCGCATTTATAGCAAACCTGAGTATTTTGTGCGCCCAGTGAACCGTTATATGATTTTGCCATTTGATGATCACTGTCATGGGCCTGGACGGCCATCTTCGCCGTATGGAAAACGGAGTTTCCATTAGGATTATGACCGTTCGTCTCATCACTACATAGTGTGCAGGTTGTGGCGCCGGGAGGATGAACGCATCGGTGCTTCTCCGGATCGATTCGAGTGCTCATCGCTGAAGTAATGGTCTCTTCGTGCAAGGGATCAATTGAATGGATCATCAGTTGTAGTACTCCCTGACGAAACTTAGAGCCGCCGTGAAGTATAGGAGTCGACATTTTGCGGCCCATCTGAAGTATGAAACAATTGCTCGCAAATAGAGTTTAACCCAATTCTGGAGACTAACCATTGGTGGAGGAGTTTCCGCTTTTCCGGTCGTTATTTTGTCAACTTTTGATCGATTCGTTACAAACTTCTTGACAAACTTCTCGACCACTTCGTTGTACTTCATGAACGTGACGTACGCCGCGTACCACAGCAACAGAATCAACGCCTCATACCTGTCCACCGCATGGATTCATATAATTATGTGTAAAGTATGTCAACTGATACAGTATTATAACTTAAGCCCATAATTAAAAAATAATTACCAAAATATTTGCGAGTCTTTAAAACAAAGCACTAAAGAGATTAAAATAGCGGAATAAAAGGAGACATCCCTGAAGAGGGGCCACCACGTGAGCACCAGAACACTCTTCGAGAAGATGGCACACATCGATATGACAAACAGGATGTTGAAGACAGCGGATCCCACGATCGTCCCGATGCCCACGTCATCGAAACTTATGAATACACCGATCACTGATGTAAACAACTCTGAAATTAAACATTTTTATTCATTTAGTTGTCATGCAAATGAATAGTATTGCAAAACATTTCTTTGAATTTGTTTACGAGTATAAAATCAATTTTAATCATTAAAGTAAATGAAAGTCTTGTGAAAATCTTAAATCGATTTTTGCATTCAAAGTATAAAAATAAATATACCCCAAATAGCTTTTACTTATGAATGTATTTTTTACGAAATATAAATGCCATAAGTATAAATGGTATAAAATTCCTATTTAATCGACAATTTACTATATTTTTTGCATCAATTTCTCCTCAAATAAAAACAATTTAAAACTTTAATATAATTCAACTAATACTTGAAAAATAACAACAAATAACATATTGCACAGGAAATTGTCATAATATATTACAAAGTAAGATAGAGCTATTATTTTATATACAGAATATGATTAAGAATAATTGCTATTAGTAATAGCCTATTACTATATCTTATAAATATGATAAAGTGAAAAATAATTTAAATTAGAATCATTTCATAAGTAAAAATAAAACTTAATATGAATTGTAAACAATAATTTTGATTTTAATTAATGATCAATTCCTATGGTGATCTAATCTTATACTTACTTAATTTATTAAGTATTAAGGATTATTTTCAAATAGATTTTACACTAAATATTGAATTAGTTACAGTAACTGTACTGTATATGTATGAAACTGAAATCCTTTTATAAAAATCAAACATTACAGTACTAGTAATAAAAAAGAGAATTAAATAAAATAATCTACACAAAAATACATTATTATTTTAGAGCAACAAAAATAGTCTCAAACCTCAAAAGTCTAAACACGTATATTACTGTATATATAAAGTAATTGCATAAAAAATATCAAATTTTCTATCACCAATTAATTGAATTGTTTTATTTATAACTTAATAAAAAATGAGTTCATTTATTTGTTATCTTTTCAATTATTTTTATAGTTGATTATATATAAAGTAATTGCATAAAAAATATCAAATTTTCTATCACCAATTAATTGAATTGTTTTATTTATAACTTAATAAAAAATGAGTTCATTTATTTGTTATCTTTTCAATTATTTTTATAGTTGAGAATTAAATGTGATAAACGGACAGTTGGCTGCACCGGAATCTTACTGCCATTCATACTATGATATACAGCTCTGTTTAATAGTCTCGACGTATAGTTTAGTTGAATATTTTTAAACAAAAAACAAAAATAAATGTTAAATAAATCTGATATTGTTAACTGCCTAAACATTATATCATTTTTAAAATTGATATCTTACTTAATTAATAGTGCATTTCAAGTATTTTACAGTATGATACAAACATCACTTATTTTAATTATATTAATTTATAAAAATAAATGTATAATATTTATTGTTTAAATTTTAAAAACAATAATTTTAATTTATATTTTTCTTTCGTTATTATTTGCTATAAAATTCACAGAATTTATTCAGAATAATTTAAAAGTAATGTCAATTTATATATTCTTATATTTATCTAATGAGTTATTGATCTATGTTTCCAAAGCAAAGCAAATAATTTAATGATTTCTTAGAACTAATTGAAAAAAATTCAAGTAATGGTCTTCATGAATATAGCGCAATCTAAAGTAGTTTTGTTACAGTGCTTACTTTATTTTAGTGAAGTAAAACTTGTTTTGTATGGGGTTTTTGTTTAGTAGTTATGAACAAAGCTTAACATCAAGTGCTCACAGAATAACAAATTATTTCATATTATTTATCATAAGAAATCAATTAATAAATAAAATCACTTCATTTTGAACAAAACATACCCCAAAAACAAATCATCAATTGAACAAAGCTTAACATCAAGTGCTCACAGAATAACAAATTATTTCATATTATTTATCATAAGAAATCAATTAACTACCGTAATACAAATAAACACTGGAAAGGCATTTGTAAAACATACGGGCTACACCATTTAAGTAACCACAAAATTTGTCAAAATGTTTCCCAATGTAAAACAATTAAATGCAAAAGAAGCTTTCTTATTTTTTATATTGACTTACTATTTACAAAATTATTTAGAATGTTGCGAATCAGTACTAATACGGTTGTAGTCATACTATTCTCTGTATTTACTAATAATACTGTAGTTTTATAATAGTTAAATTGTCGTAAATATGATATGTATCTTAATAATAATTTTTTCATGTTTTTAGAATTGCTCAATTGGAAATTATAATTTGAATAATAGAAATGTTTAACGAAATGTTGTAAAACAATTAATTCAATTGTCATTCATGATGGCAATGAGTAATCATAAGATAATAGCAAACAATGTCATAAATAATAAGATAGATAATGTCATACCTGGTGCCGAACCTCCCGCAGCCTTTAAAGAAAACAAAAATATAATGAATTCATGAAAGAAGAGTAATCATAATAACGAATAGGAAGGCCTACCATAAAGGTAGCGCCGGCCACGTCTTCACTGATATCCAACTTCTCGGTGATGACATCGAGCGCTGGTATGAAGAACTCGTCGCAAACGATGGCCAGAGCGACAAACATGTAGATAAGGCCTGCGATATGGAAAACTACGGCTCCATTCTTGCGCTGATCTTTAGTGAATAGATCGGTTGGAAACTTGGGATCCGATTGCGGTGGTTTTGCTGTCGATTCTGGTACAGCCGTCGAGTTGATGACTACTTCCTCAGTAGTGGACAATAAAGATCTTGTTTTAACTAATTGTTGGAAATAACAGTCATCCGTATGGATGGATGGGTTGGATTTGTGACCGACGAATACAAGTAAAAATGTAAGAAAAGCGATCATCAAAACTAATATCAATTTTCTCCATAACTTTCTATAAAACTTTCGATACAACCGAAAATGGTAATGATTCAAATGAGCCATAAACTTATGGGTTTTCACTAAAATATTTATTTAAAATACAATTCAATGAAAATATCTGCATTTAGAAAGTTATATATTGAAAATAAAATATCGATAAAAAGCGATAAAAATACAAATTTTTATTTCAAAACAATTTCACAAACGAATAGACATTTGAAGAGTTGAACAAAACAAAAGTGAATTCAGACATCACTGCTAAACGGGAATCAAAGTCTAATAAGTGAGAGTAAGTGTCTGTCCATTCAATTGACGGCATTACAGAGGTTGTGGTGATTGACAATCGTTGCAATAATTGCTAATTCAAGTCACTTATTGTTTTGTGTTCTATGGGACGGAACACTGGTTACTACGGATCCGTTTCCACCACAACTGAGTCGTCCCAACATTAATATACATCAATATTACCGCCCATTCATTGATTGTTCACTTCATTTGTCATCTTATTTATGCTTGTCACTCAGTTTTGGCTACTTTTTAACAAATTATTGTACTTTTTATTTTAAAATATAATTATTATCGATATAAATATATATAAAACATAACTCAAATGCGGAAACAACTATTGAATGACCAAAGAGTTGGGTTTTGGGAACACTTTTTGCATAATTTCATTCAATTATTGATTCAATTCTACAAAATATCTGCAAAATATAGGCCATTATTATTGCATTTTGTGACATAATTATTGAGGAATTTCTTTAATTAAATCATTCAATTGACTAAATGTTGGTCTCAAATGTGAATCCTTTTGCCAACAATTCAACATTATTTGATAGGCTTGTAGTGGACAGAGCTCTGGAAGTGAGAGACGGATTCCCTTTTCCAAGGCCTGTAAGAGGTCACCATCACAAATATTCTGTTTGTCTTGATCTACATATTGCGGATGTTCTCCATAACTATACATCTCTGACATAAGAAATCAATTAAATGATTAAATAATGTGATTAAGTGAAGGCTTCACGGCTCACAACTCACCCCACAATACAATTCCGAAACTCCAGATCTAATGAAAAATTAATGAAAAGTCAATCATTGAAATGAATATTAAAGAGCAAAACATACGTCAGATTTGTGCGAAAAGCGAAAATACTTCAGTGATTCCGGTGCGTACCTATCAGTGCGATACAAAAATATGTTTGACATTTCATTTGAAGACTTTATTACAGTGTATGAAACAGACCACCGAAGAGGTAACTCGCGGTTTGTTTTGAAGACATAGTATTGGTTATTGGGATCAATGAATTGGGCTAAACCGAAGTCAGAGATCTTGACCTGAGTCTCAGAGCCAACTAGAATATTACGGGCCGCCAGATCCCTGTGCACTATAGACTTGCTCTCCAAGTACTCCATCCCAAGGTTTATGTCAATCGCAAACTTGACTAAAGGTATAACCGTTTTATTGGACCGGTTTCCACGCAAATAAGCCACTAATGAGCCCAACTCTACGTACTCCATGACTAACATTGTCTGTGCATCCGTTAAGTCTATGAAACAATTTCCACAATTAATACTTAGTTCACAATTGAAGGCATGTTAGCATCAGTTCATACAAACCCTCAACAAATCCTTTAATTTCGACGATATTCTTATGACTCAATTTCTTCATGATTTCAATCTCACGCTTCATATCTCGTAATTGACTGTCGGAAGGAACGGCTTTAATGCGCTTTACGGCCACCACTTCCTCCTTGAGTCCGGCACAGTGTGTAAGTGTGGCCTTCAGGACCTCCCCATAACACCCCATTCCGATCACTTTCCCGAGTTTCAGTTGCTGTAAGTCTATAAGCCAGGGCTCATTCGCCTGACCATTGCATCCGTCGAACTCGTGGTCAGACATGAGACAAATCTCGGACCCAATTGTCGTTTCATTGCCTTTAATACTGTTTGACAGATAAGTAGAGACAGACTGTTGGCTGACTACAGAACTCGAAGACAACGAGAAAGTTCGAACTCGTGGTCAGACATGAGACAAATCTCGGACCCAATTGTCGTTTCATTGCCTTTAATACTGTTTGACAGATAAGTAGAGACAGACTGTTGGCTGACTACAGAACTAGAAGACAACGAGAAAGTGGAGCCAAAGAATGAGTTTGGCTTATATTTAGACCAATTCTTGAATAGAGTTGAAGTGCTTTTGCTTGGCTTTTGGTCTTCAAATACAGGTTTAGAGTAATAATCATTTCGTTGAGAATTAAACACTTCGTACAGAATTTGACTGATATCTCGGTATATACTGTGCGGTTGTTTGCGGGCCTCGCAGTCAATAGTCCAACACTCGCCGATTAGTGTCCAGATCTCATTGGGACAGTCGCTCGGTTGGTGAAGTTCAAACACATCATCAGAGTTGGGTCGAGCGCCGTAACTGAATATTTGCCAAACAGTTGTCCCAAAAGCCCAGACATCGACCGAATGGGTGAGACGTTTGAAAGAATACGTCCACTCATTAGTAGTGAGGTATTCGGGCGGAAGCCATACTCTCTCCGTATTGATATCATTATCACTGATGGGATCACTTAGTTTTACTTTAAGACAATTTGAAGAATATTCAGACACTAGTAGATTATGGCATCTGATGTGTCCGTGAACTATGCTATTCTCGTATAGAAACCAAAGGGCGCGCGATAAGTAGGAAATGCTTTCAACCAAATCAACTAATTTCAGGTTTTGTCGGTTTGTATTCAAAAATGCATCCAAAGGTCCGATCGGCAAGTATTCCAATATTATAGAGAGGGGAGAGTAGAGAGTAATTCCGCGACAAATCACTATAGAGTCGTTGCGAAGGTGTGTCCATTGGGACACTGTTTTGAGGAATTCTTGAGTCATGTCAACACTCTTGACTTCTTTAACAATAAACTGCTTATTCTGGAGATTAGCTAAACGGACGCCATATCGAGAATTATTGGTTAATGTAGTGTTTGATAGCTTTAGTAAATGACTTGCGATGACTGGCGGACCCAATGGGTCGCCATCTTTTCGGGAAGAGTTCTCTTTGGTGGCCAATCGACACAACAGTAAATTCAATGGCAGGTCGTGTTCACTGGGAGTTATGCAATGACTGAGACTAATCTCTGTGTCCTCGCCGTAATTGAATGAAAACTTTTTGATGAGATCTACAAATGACTCAAAATGCTTGCTATAGGCGTCGACAACGATTTGATTGTTAATCACTTTCAGTTTAAATGTTTCAAACAATTCGTGTTTAATGAATATATCGAGTTTGTATTCATCGTATTTCGAGACACTTTCTCTGAGAATATAAGCGCCGGTCATGTCGTTTGCCTTCTCTTTCAACTTATTCAGAGCGAACTCATAGTCGACCGGACCGTGAG